TCCTGGGGCTGTGAGTTCCTTTCTTCTGGGACCTATGTGCTTGTTCACTGAGCCCCTTTACTAAGTGCCACAGCAGCAGGTGTGAAGACCAAGAAATATCACCTCCCGTGACTAAGACTGATAGGATCGTCCACTGCTGAGTGCTCAACTTACTGACAGAGGCCAAAGCTGAACCCTCGTGCAACTCCGTTCTCCAGTGAGACCAACCCACCACCTATGGCATCACCTTAAACCCTTTTATCATGGAAGGGGCAGTATTTCGTCTCTGGGAATAAATGTATTTTCTAAGAATTGGTTGCTATACTTCCCCTCCTCCCCCATTATCTCAGGCTTTATGAAAAAGCTTTATCTATAACCGATGAATATGATGGTTTTCAAAATATGTCCAAAAGTCTTTGCTACTCTTTGAGAAGGCAAGTCTAATGTGTCCCTTGCATGTAGGCTGGAATTAGAGCCTCCCATTAGGATGAGGCAAAAGCGATGCAATATTCTCTCAAAGAGTAGGTGATGAAAAGACTGCAACTTAGATCTTTGGTATACTCTTGGTTTGCAGTTTGGGGGTGTGAGGGAGTGGGGAAATCAGCTGCCCCATCACCAGGCAGCCCTATGGAGAGGTCATGTTGGAGGAACTGAGGCCAACAGCCACAAGAGTGAGCTTGGGAGTGAAGTGCAACCACCCCTAGTCAGGCTTCTGGAGGTTGCAGCTCTGATTGACAGCATCCCTTCAACCTTAGAAGAGATCCTGAGTGAAGCCAGTAGCTGACCCACTCCTGGATTCCTGAGCCAAGACACTGCCAAGTAATATTTGTTATGATGTTAAGCCACTGTCTGGTGTATTTTGTTAGACAGCAATATCTAGCTGAGTGTGACCTACATAACCTACGACTGTTAGGACTCACTTTGCAGAAATGGACTCACTCCATAGAATTTACTGGTCATAGAATGCTTGGAGGCAACCACCTTGATATAAGAGAGAACAGCCCATGGATGAACCGGCTAGGATACCAGATGAGGATGAGTTACCAAGGTTGAAGTATTATCCTATAGCACAGCTGATGCCTTAAGGTAACAACTGTTTCTCCCATGACCAGAATGTATAGTTTTGGCAGTAAGGGGATTAGAGGAAGAGGAACCCCTCTCAGGATCACACAGAATAACTCATTTCATTAATGGAATTTTGCTACACCTCAGACTTCTAAAAAAAAAATGTGACTACTTTAAAAATAATAGTCATCATTAATATCTAGTCACTTAAAAGCATTAGTTTAATGCTTCATACTTTACTACACCAAATATTTCAAAATAATATGTAGGTCAAAAAATAAAATGTCTTTATCTGTGCTCTAGGAGCCATAGTTTTCCATGGCTTATGGTCTTTGTGTTCAATTTTTATGGAGACATGTAGATTTCTGTGTTCCCACACTGTGAAGATGTAATTCAATAAAACCTGGAAATGTTTTATTAGGACCAAGGAACTTTGTATTTATTTTAAATATCAAAATAACACAAAGAACTAGTTCAATATACAATACACTTTCTATTCTTCACAGAGAACTGAATTTTTCTATAAAGACATTTGTACGTAAGAAACGAGACAACCAAAATATCTATAAAACTCACAAGATACTTTACACACAGTTGACAATAATGCGTTTTGATATTTCAGAATTGCCTTTGTAACTGCTTTTAAAAGTGTCCTTAATTAAAAACAAAAATTATGATTTGAGACCGAAACAAGTTCAAAAGCATTTCTACTTTAATGTACATCATAAATTCCCTTCATCAGAACATTTACACACAACAGGGAGCAGTTAAATCCCCAGCTTTGTGTATCATTGGCAGCCACACTCATCAATTGCAATAGTTTCAACTATGGGGTAAGAGTCTGATTGCTGGAAGGAATACAAATTTTATAATTACGCCACAGTACATTGTCCAACTTTAATGCAAGCAGGAATACCAAGCAGAGGCACAGTAACAATGAATTGTGTACATGCTCTTCATTAATAAGAAATGTTCTAGAAGCTCCAACATAATACAAGCATTGAAATTACTTTTTTTGCCTAAGAATTTGGTGTGTGTGTGGGGGAGAGGTTATGTTCACCTTTGTATAACCCTCCATGCTCTGAACATAATCCTTAATTTCTCCTTACACAAATGGCTGCAAAGGCTAAATTTAAATTGCTTGGGATTTTTTTCAAGAGATAAAGACTGAAGATCATTATACAGCCAAGTTGAAACATAAAAAGTAAGCGAAACATAAACACTCTCTACCAAACCGTTTTTCTCTCATCTTCCGCACAACCTAATCTTATTACTTATTATAAATGCTATTTCCAAAAAGGAAGAGCAGAAAGCATGCTAACATTCTAAGGAGAAAGTATCTCAATTAAAATTAATTTTAGAGGAGGTGAGGAGGGTCCCAAAGAAACCACTACAAACTATGCTGAGAGAAATGTGCACAAGAGAAGGATCTAAGAAAAAAATGTCTAGCTCCTAGAAACCGAAATTATTCTCACATTATCCACTATTCAGTCTAGCAGCAAGTAACATTTACCATAATGCTTTAAGAAATGCTACTTGTTTCTTATTAAAGAATACTTTTTTAGTCATTTTAAATTTGGCACTGAATCTTAGAATATTCAAATATTACTTCATTTAAAAGCCCTAGTTTTTCCTGAGTTCATAACTCAAGATCCAGGTTGGTTGGGATGTTGCTGCTCTTTATGAGAAACTCATCTCAAACCGTCACCTCTTGTTCAGTTTTAGGCAAACTGAAATAAGAAGTCATTCAGTGCAGAGTTGTATGGTTATTTTGTAACTGGTTATTTAAAAAAAAAAAAATGAAGGGAGAGATAGAGACAGAGAGGCAGACAAACTACGCATTTTATTTGTCAGATTCCTCTAATAAGCATCTAGAGACAGGCCCAGGAGTGGCTTCACAAGAACAAGAAAGGTCAAAATAGAGATTTAAAAAAAAAAAAAAAGATAAATAAATCATAAAACCAAACGTCCAACTAATACTAAGTGCCAATCTCCAAATATAAAGAAACCTAAAAAAAAGTTGTTGCCCAACCAGCAGGCAACACGACCATTAGGCTCATAACCAAAACAAGAAAAAGGATTGTTACTATTATTATTACTACCAGTACAATCTAGCCAGCAGAATCAACACTAAGCAACCACAATACATTGAAAAGGCACAAAGCATTGAATCCAGAAAGGACTGGGTATGAAAGGACACTGCCAAAGAGCTACTGCTCAAAATCTGACTTTTCATCAATGATAAGAGTGATATGGTAAGAAAAACTGAAGCTTATAAACATACCAGTTTAACTGTGTTTTTAATTTGTTTACAACTATAGAGTGAAAACAATGAATGATATTTAATTGAGTATTAGCCCTTAACTAACACTTTATAGTCACCCTATAAAGATGCTTTAACACTTTGTAAGACTGATAGGAAATTTTTAGTGTATTTCATGACCTACCATCATTTAAAAGGAAGTCACTTAATAAAGCACCAATTTAAACCCCTATTTTTGTTATTCCTCTTCTCCCAGCAATGAATGTCTAAATTATTTAAAGAGTAAGCAAAGATCACTACCTGTATAGTTGTCGGTTAAATTTTGCTGGCATGAGGAACAAACTATAATTTTAGGCTGCAAAAATAGGTGGGGTTTCTTACAAAAATAACTTCAACTTGACTTAAAAAAATTTCTAAAGCAAAAATTATTTTGATAGTGTAGTGTAAAAAAAAGGCATATTAGCATGTAATAGTGTTCACTAAAAACATAACATTCAACTAATTAAACTGAGGAAAACTGAATATTCCTCCCTGTAATTAATTGGTTTGGAAGTCTGACTATTCCCAGAGTATTTTCTTCTGCTCTTATTTGATGCATATAAACACAAACACTTAATACCTAATTTCGGTATTCAAACTAACGATTTTTAAAAAACTCCACTATCCTAGGACTTCAACTGTGCTTCTTTGGACAAATATTTATTCAAACAACACAGAATTTAAATTCTTTTAAACTATTTAATACCTACTAAAAGTCTTTGGTGCATTTAAGTCAAAACCGATTAGGTTAACAAATTTCTGCACTTGATAAATTATTCAATTTACAGATTAAGTGCTAACTGCTATCTGCAAAAAAAATTAATTTAAAACAATAAATTATGCTTATAAAATAAAACATTCTGAATAAGGCTAAACTTAGTCGCAAGACTCAAAATTTTAAGTACAGTTATAAAATAAATGAATTTTAGTTATAAAACATTTGTCTAACATACGCTAAATCAAATATTATAAAAGGTCAACTGAGAAGACGAGGCCTCATCTTATATTCTTTGTGCCAACCTCTAAAGCTTACATACATTCAGTTTGCCTAAATCCATGAGGTTTCCACAATTTTAAAATTGTTTAAATTTTTGGAAATTAGAGACAGCAGATTTGTTTGTTTCATTTTGTTTCTCCACCTACTAAACCCATTTCTTCCTAAGAATGATATTACCTACCTCCCAGACTAGGTTCAGATGGGAGGGAATGTCGTGCCTGGCACAGAGTAAGCATTCGTTAATGCTCGTTGGCTTCCTTCCCCAGCATGAGCTCTTGCCACTCACTCGACACGCGAGCTTAAAGGAATCCTTCGAGCTTAACCTCAGATTCTTCATCTCCAAAATGGGTATACCACATGCTCTTTCTATTTCCGAGCTGGTTATGAGGTTCAAATGAGATAATATGTACGAAAGCATTTTATAAAACAGTAAACCGCTATTCAAGATATCTACAATAATAACCAAATACAATTATACAACTGTATTCTACTTTACATAAGAGATTATTCCAAAACAGTTCTATGTAAACCAATTCCTACAATTAAATCATATATTTAAAGCATTAGGACATTATTAAAAGAACCCTCAAGTAAACACCTTCAAAAAGCAAAGTATTCTTTTCAATGTGAAAATGCAATATCCTCTTTTTCTGCTACCGAACATGTATCATATACATACACATACATATACCATTTGCCTTTTTGTAAGTCCAAATTTTCTACATAAGACAGGGTATATTTTTAGGTATGATTTTTCATTATAGTAAGATTTCAGTTACAATCTTGTCAGTCTTTATGATAAAAATCATAAAGGTAAGTATTTTTAATAAGTCAATTTGAAAGACTAACAGACTAAAAGTACCACATTTAGTCAAGCTCAATCATGTAAGTACCCCAGATATAACATCTCCACACAAAGTAAATAAGAATGCTTTAAAAAGAAGAATATAGTCATTATATCTACTGGTTTAAGAAAATTACAAACAAACTTTGATAAATGAGGCAAAACTCGGGTTGGTTTTACTATTTTAAGAACAGCTTTGGTTAACTGCCTCAATTCTCAACATTTCTTTCCTTTGTTTTATCTTCACTAGTATGGCAAATGTTCCTGTAAAGTACCTTCATTTCTTAAGTGCTTCAACAAACAGTTCCTGCCATTACTAACTGGTTTGACTTTACTCATTAAAAGGTCATTATTTTATTTGTGATTTTCCTTTTCACAAGGGCCAGGCCAGCCTTTACAGTTTACACATACACACATACACACACACACACACAAAGTGCTTAACGCAATTAGGAGTGTAAACAAAACTGAAATAGAAAACTTTAGAAACTATTATTTTCCAGTAGTTTATATACAAATGACATGCTAATAATAAATCAACCCTGCCTAGTCTAATCCTCAAGCAACTCTACTAGGAAATGTTCTCCTAGTTTAAGTTAAATTGACTTGAAAATAGGGAAAGTGCATGTCTTTAAAGGTATTTTATCATTCTTACTTTTTTCTCAATTAAATTTAATCAATGAGGCTTTATGGTAACTGCTATTTTCTTTCACCAAGTCCTCAACTTTTTGTCTCATACAAAAATAAAAACCAAGGATACGATAGGCATTAGGCCTATGTGAAAGCAAAGGTGATGATCTGGACTACGTGAAAATCTGTATACAAGAAGTGCTTCCACTTAATTCAACACTGAATTAAATGAGACACAAATTTATAATTTGGCACTGTTTCTAACAATTATACATGAAATCTCTAGATCCTGCTTCCCAAAGTCTCCCTCAGCCAAAGTAAATGAAAGCAAAAACAGCATGTTGAATTAAACCACATCACTTAAACTGCCACTTCCTTAGTGAGATGAAGATGTATGTTGCAATGTGTCGTTAATGTTTCTGAAATAAATATCAAAACACCGAAGGTGAACTTAATGTTAAAGATAACTAGACAAGTTTATGTCATATTTTTCTTTTAAATTTGATATCTAGACCTATGTTTATATTTCTTATTCACAGTAACTGAAGACTGGGAAAAAGTCAATTATGTGGATAATTATTTCAATCCTACATTTCATTTAACAAGATAACCCTACATCAATTAGCTTCCTGGCTTTGAGTTTGTTAAATGTCCAAAGGGTAATAATCTGGATTATGGATCAATGGGAAGGCAACACAGAAATATCTAAGATTTTCTTATAAATTTAAGTACCTAATTTCGACTTAAAAAAAACCTGGGTGAAAGAATAATGAATTGAAGTTAGGATAGGAACCATTACAATTACCAGTATGGTCTTACATTCCTTCTTAAAAGCTACACAGTCCTTAAACTTGTCTGTAAAATGGAGAAGGGATAAAAGAATTAAACAAAAGAATAAAAATTTGCAATGATGTCTAAACAAACAAACAAACAAAAACCCCATAATGTCAGTAGCTAATTCTGAAAGTCTGAAAGCCCACTAAAAAGTAGCACTAAACTATCTTTAAAAAAAATCACAAAAATGTTCATTTATGGCAAAAAATGTGTCCAAATATTCAGATGTTCAGTAAACAGAAATGGTTTTTCTTGATTTGCAAGTGTTCTGAGGACTTGAGAAACTCGAGAAGATGAAATAATAGCAGTCTTACTCATTTAGAAGCCACCAGCTCCTGGCTCCCATCAGCACATCACCGTAGAAGGTCTATGGAATGTCTGGCTCTCCTCACGGGTGATGCTCATCAGGAGCAATATTCTGAACAGCAGTAGTGTTATCAAGGCCCAGTAATGTTCCCAGGTAAGACTGTTCTCTAGGATCTAGCATTTGTTCAGGTCGGACTGGATGAACTATATTTGCTGGCTGAGGAGTCAGAGTGTATTTTTCCAGAAAAGCTAAATCAGCTGCTCGTGGGTAATCAGTTGCCTGAGGCTGGGGTGACAGGATCTCGTGAGAAGAAGGTGGCAGTGTGGTAGTGTGACGCACCAGATCATTGGAGGGGTCGGGCATCTGAACTGGAACCAGTGTCACTGGAACACATACCTCAGCAGACACGTTCTGCAGCAGAGTCTTGGCTTCTGGCTGATAAACTTTGGGCTGGTCTATATATTGTTTTGTTTCTGTTTGAAAAATTTTGTCATCGGATGAGTACTCCACTGGCAAGGACACAAGTTTTTCTTCAGAAGCACTGAGAGGATCATCAGGAGATTTTATCCCATGGACGTGGTCAATGTGGTATTTCAGCTTGTCTTTCCGCTTAAATGTTGCATTACAGTGCTGACAGTTGAAAGGGCGAGCATCAGAATGAATAACCAGGTGTTTTGTTAACGTTTTCTTAATTCTAAAAGACTGATTGCAAATCTGACACTTGTATGGTTTTTCACCTGCATGAACAAAAATGAATTTAAATGTAAAATCCACTCGCTTGATGAGACGATGATTTAAGTAGTAAATTTTCTATTTGCCTACTGGTAAGAATTTAATAACAGCAATACTATTCTATGATATTGCACAATGGAGGTAGTACAGTAAACTGGTTTAAGGGCAAGCAAGGTGGTGTGGCAGATAAGGCAGCTCTCTCTCCAGTGAGTATATCCTATAGCAAACAAAACAAAACAAAACAAAACAAAACAAAAAAGATGCACATAAACATCGGAAAATCTGGGTTTGAATGCTGGTGAACACGCAGAATAACTGGAATTTTCATACACTATTGATGGTAGTGTAAATTGACACAATTACCCTGAAAAGCTATTTAGTTGTGTTTACTAAAGTAGAACATACGCAGATCCTATGGGCCAGGATCCCAGGGTCAGGTACAAATAAAAGAAAGATGAATATGTATGTATAAAATGACATAGACAAGAACACTCAGAGAAGCTGTATTCATAACAGAAGTAAATACAAACCATGTGTCCATTAAGCTAGAATGGATAAACTGTGGTAGAGTCATACGAAAATGAAACTACTTCCACGTATTTTCTTTTTAAATAAAAACAGTTTATAAAAAATTCACCTTGAATAAAAAACTCAGTCAAGGCTAAAATTAAATTCTAAATTTGCTGTCAGCTTTATGCCAGTCTTAATAATGTATTATGTTTCAACAAGACAACTTCTGAAGAATAGATGTAATCATACCTCTGAAGATTACATAAGCAAAAACACAAATGAATGAGAATAAAGGATTTGTAGAAAAAAATGTTACATACATGTTCCAACTAAGTTCTCTAATTGTATGGTTGAAAAGAGGTTACAGGGTAGCCATAGGAAAATATTCAACAAATATTTACTGACTACCTACTATGTACAAGTCCTAGACTGCATACTGAATTTACCAGAACTCTTAGCTACTGAAATTGCCTGAATTCAGTTATTTTCCATTCTGGTATTTATGAAATTATTTTTCTCTCACAGAGGAATAGTTTGACAAAAAAATCAACCGAAAAATAAAACAAAATGCAATAATTGCATAAATGGGCTTCCTTTAAAAAAAAAAAAAAAGAAAACCTTTACACACTCATAAATTTGTGGAGAAAAAAAGATTTAGAAAGCAGCTACAACAAAACATTTTACTACAACTACTTTTAAATCATGACTGGCTACATAAAAAGGAAAACTATACAATGGCAACTTAGTAATAAACTAGAGGTCACACTTTGCAATATTCTTTTAAAAGGAAAAAAAAAGAAAACAAAAAGATAACCAAAGCTAGAAAAAGCTTTCAGAAGGTGAAATAAGAGGAACCATAAAATACTCAGGAAGGGAGAAAAATGAGAGCTAAAAAGGGTTGTGTAAACTATGGAAAAAACCATTTTCCCGAATTCTAAAAAATGAAGCAAACATAATAGAAAATAGAAGATCAGGATGTTGCTCATTAATGATATAAATTTCAACATAATGAGCAAAAGTATTCATGGGAAAAAAATTAACGAAGAACAACCAAGTTTAAATGTACATATTTTACTCCTGAATAAATATATAAAGATATATTTAAAAAGCTATCCACTGAGTTTTACCTGAATGGGTCCGAAAATGCATTTCCAGACTTGATTTGCCTTTAAAAATTTTCTTACAAACATCACATTGATGAAATGTTGCTTTGTATCTAAGAAATAAAAGTTTGATAGTTTCAATATAATTTTAATAACAATGAAAATTAAGTTTATGTATAGTTACATCTGTAATTCTCATATTCACAAATCACAGAACTCTAAAGGAACACAGAAATACTTTTTAAGTATTTAGCTTGTATCTGGTTCTTCCCACCCCCCAGTTTCATTCAACCAACAAATCTGTAAAAAAAAAAAAAAGACCTCCTTGCACTTTTCAACTTCTTTAAATCACTGATCTTTTATTGTTGCTAGCTATTAAACACACAAGGGAAACTCCTAGGACAGAAACAGATCAATGATGGCCTGAAGAAAAAGGAGACAGTGATGTGGAGATGGAACTATTCTAAATCTCAATTGTGGTGATGGCTGCAAGACTTACAGAACTATACACTATGCAGAAATGTACACTTGACAGAGTGAACATTATATTATGTAAATTATACCTTAACTGAATTAAAAGTGGAAGCTGCAGCTGATTAAAAAACAACTGTAAGAATCAAAATTTGCATTCATCAAAAGGAGACATTGCTTTCCTCAGTTCATATCCTAACAAATAGTATAAATTTAAACTTTAAAATAAATTTTACATTAAATAAAATTATACATTTTTATTATAGACAGACATAAATAAAACTTTACTCAGTAAGCAACATAGTACAGTCCCTAAGAAACGTTTTTGAGTTAAACAATTCTAAGCACAAAATTTAATTTTGAAGATTAAGCTACTTCTAAAACGATACTGAAGTGCTAGTCAATGAAGAAAATATGACAAAATATTCAGCTTACTTAATGTTCTTTAAGACAGTCTGCTCTTAACTGTGCCCTTTTTTTTTGGGGGGGGGGAGGTTTTTGCTATAGGGTGCGTGCACTCACCAGAAGGACAGAGAGACAGAAAGCAAGAAGTCACCCTCCCGAGGGAATGGTCACTCCACAATAGCTTCTCCTTCGTTCTCCTCTCAGGATCTTGGGCATGCATGTACTGGCGCTCAGCATGAGTTTTAAGCCACCAGGTCCAAGACTCGAACCGTGGTCGACTACATGGGAGCCCAGCAACATAGCCATTATGCCAACTGCTGGTCCCTTAACTGAAATCTTAACTCCAGTGAGTTTTCCTGGAATGTTTGTTATATTCTTACAATATTAAACAGCAACAGAATAAACCTGGGTTCCAAATATCATTCACATATTTCCATTCATCCAACCCAACCCAAAAAACTACACACAGTCTAGTCTTCTAGGAACTTATTTCTACTTGATTAAATGGACATTTAAAAACTTAATTTGGGGGATCAGCAGATGCCATAGTGGTTATGTCATTGGACTCCCACATGGCCGACCATAGTTCATGTCCTGGACCTAAAGGCTTAAAACTCATGCTGGGTGCATGTGCATGCGTGCCCAAGATCCTGAAGGGAGAATGGAGAAAGTGAGATTGTGTCATAGCCATCCTCCCTGAGGAGGGGTGATCTCTCTTTCTGTCTCTGTCTTTCTCTCTTCAACAAGTACATGCACTCTATAGCAAAAATCTCTTTAAAAACAAAATAAAACTTAATTTGCATTTTAGTGAGTTGAGAGCATCACTGATAACCTTAGTAAAAGACTCCCAACCAGTATGCTTGGTTTGTCTTGTACCGTTCATACTTTATTAAACGTAAATAAAAATACAAACCAGGTCACCATGGACACACAGAGAAAGAGATGGTAGTACTCAACCACCAGCAATTTTGCACCCATGTGACAGTGTCTGAAGAGATGTGCGGTCTTTACAAGTAGGGGCAAGGAACAAATGCTGCACCTTCTAGTGAGTGGAGGCCAGGAACACTGAGGAACATCTGGCAATGCACAGACACGGTGGTTCAAAATCTGCTCTGGCTGAAATAAATCTTGGTCTATACTAAGAACAGAGTGATATTCTGATCACAAATAAGCTCAGATCACTGTGCCTCACAGAAAATTTAGTAAGTAAAATTTAGTAAGTAAAGGTAAACTCTGTAAGATTCTCCATATTCTCACAGGAACATTAAGAAGTACAGATTTTCAAGAAAGGAATAATAAGCAATTCCAAGTGAAGCAAAGTTGCTTGGGAAGAACTGGACTAATAGCAGTGTGAGAGAAATAGTAAGGTCAGAGGTCAGGTTGCAACAGTGAACAGGAAGTGAAGAATGAAAACTGAGGTAGAGTCATCATGGTTGGAAGTTCAGAGGGAGGATTAGAATATAACTGGTGGTTGGAGGTGTGCTAATCCTCATCCCTCTGCATTCTTTCCTGAATAACCTCCCCTGAAATACTTACAACCACTAAATTTTTATCCACAGACCAGAGATTTCACTACTGAAATTCAGATTACTCTCTATCAAATTTTATGTTGCTAGTTTGTACTGAGCATCTCAAAGTCAATACACACCAAACTATTCAATAGCTTTCTCTATAAATATTCCATTTCCTCCCTCTCCACAGCCAGTCATCGAATATTGACAATAAAGGCCTAAATATTTTTTCAAATAGCTGTTGTTCACTAGTCATTACTAATGTCACTCTATAGTTTAGTCCCTCATCATCTTTTCCCTAGAACTAACAGCTATCTATCTGGCTGATACACTTATCTATTGCAAACTAGCCTCCATGCAACAGTAAGAGTGGTATACTTAAAATGCAAATCCAATGGAGTCATTCCTTTGTTTAAAATCTTAATTGGCTTCTTATCACACAGTGATTAAATAGAAGTTGTATAAAACAGCACATAAGGCTTTATATTCTAGAACTACCATTAGTCAACCCTTGCAGAAAGGAAAGTCTACGGATTCTAGTTCCACAATTACCTGTACCAGCAGATAGGTCCACTGGCCCTTGGGGCAAAAGTGGATGATAGGTCTCAAAACCCTTTCATAGGATTCACAAAATCAAAATTATTTTCAAAATATGGGACCAGCAGTTAGCATAATGGCTGCATTGCTGAACTCCCAGGTAGCAGACCGCAGTTCGAGTCCCGGACCGGGTGGCTTAAACAACTCACACCAGGCGCGTGTGCATGCGTGCTCAAGATCCCGAGAGGAAAATGAAGGAGAAGGGACTGCGGCGTGGCTATCCCCCCTGGGGGTGATTTCTCGCTGTCTATCTCTCTGTCTCTCTCTGTCTTTCTGGTGAGCGCCACGTGCCCTAGAGCAAAAACCTCTCTAAAAAATATATATTTTTTTTTTTCAGAATAATACTATGGTATTATCTGCCTTTCTTGCTGTGTTGACACTGACACTATGATCCAAAAGGAACAGCAGGTAAAACTGCTGGTACCCTAGTTATAAATGAGGTTAATGGTATCAAAGTGTACTAACAGTCATGGAGCTTTCACCAGCATGTACTCGCAGAGAGAAAAATATGATGAAGCAGTAAAATTAGTAACCTCACCAAATTGTGACCATTCAGATCTTAGCCCTTTTTTCTGAACTCTCTCAAGGAAAATCACCCCTCAAAAATTAACAAAAGTAAGCAGCTAGCTCACCTCAAAGTAAACAGTCAGCAACATCTGCTATCAATGCTAAAACTGAACTTTGAAGCTAACGTAAGAATTTTGCCACTGTGATTTTGACAGCATCCCTCTACTCCTTTCTGAGACTAGAGGCAACGTTAAGAAATGTTTGTTGATAACTGCGATGTAAAATGTGATAATATTTGGAAAATCTGCCTCATTCAATGAACCCTTATTTTCCAAATAGCAAATCCATGATATTAAAAAATTGTGCCTGGGTTAAAAAAAAAAAAAACAAACAGTTCAAAGTACAAGACAGACCAATAGGCTGAATGTTACAGAGTATTAAACTTTCATTCATTTTGTTTCATATTCTACCTTGCAACTACCTTTAAGAAACCAATGTTACTAATCTGATTTATTGTATAAACAAAGAAACATCCCCTTTTCAAACTATTTAAGGATATGAGGTTAGATTTCTTCATTTATATCACCCAGAATAATGCATTAGAACAGATAGGACAATTTGGCAGTCTTCTGTTAAAACACTGAAGAGATTTACAAAAATGTAAAATAACTTTGCTCTTTTTATTTCTCATTTTGTAAAGTAGTTATAAAATTGCTACTTATGGGACCAGTAGATGGTGTAATGGCTATGTTGCTGGACTCCCATGTAGTCGAGTTCTGGACCCCCGGTGGCTTAAACTCACTCAAGGCGCATGTGTGTGTGTGCCCAAGATCCCAAGAGGAGAATGGAGGAGAAGGGATTGCGGCATGGCCATCCCCCCTGGAGGGTGATTTCTCGCTTTCTGTCTCTCTCTGTCTCTCTCTGTCTCTCCCTCTCTCTCTTTCTATCTTTCTGGCGAGCGCATGCACACTACAGCAAAAACCTCTTAAAAAAAAAAAGTTATTTATGTTAACATATAATGGGTATATGATTGTTATTTGAAATGAATGAATAAATGTCTTAAATTATTCTCAATTTAATTTGTAATGATTTATAATTTAAGCAGCAATTTCTGTATTGCATTTTATATTTTGAATAACTTATATTTATATTTAAAAAAACTCTTGTATTGAATAATTTTATAAACTTCAAAGAAGTACAAAGAGGTATGAAGGGTCTTCAGGAAAAGGAAGTTACAGAACTGCTGGAGTAAATGAGCCTATATTTCTAAGAACACTCTGCCCATTCATAATAATATAGCCCTCTCACAGCACCATGCACATCTTTATAGCACTCCGCAGCATTCCCAGCATAAACTGAACACAAAGTTCAATGAATGCACTGACTCAACATGAGCGTCACTAAGCAGAATTAACAAAACAAGAAACAAATCAATATAGGAAAATATAAAAAATGAATACAAATCTATTCCCTTCTGACTCTTTAAATTTATCTTTTACTTCC